TTTCGGATGATAACTTGATAAACGAGCGGTTCGAAGGCTAATTTAGTCTTTTTTTGTGTCGTTTATGGGTTTCGCCTCGTCACAGGAACGACCCTCTGCTTCAACAGTCTTCACAAAATGGAGTTCGTCAAACGCTCGTAAGACTGAAAAACAAGCGTTTGAAGCCCCGCCCCGCAGCTTAACGTCAGCACGTCGCTGACGTAAGAGCAAGTACGTCGTCGGCTGCCACTCCCTATTATTTCTCCGCTTTACTGGAAAGGTGATGTCATCGTGGCATAATATTGAAGTCTTGTCGTCAGGAAAATCCCCATATTATGGAAGCCCATCGAAATTGTGAGATAAAAAGTCATAATAATGAGATAAAAAGTCATAATAATAAGATAAAAAGTCATAATAATGAGATAAAAAGTCATAATAATAAGATAAAAAGTCATAATAATGAGATAAAAAGTCGAAATTGTGAGATAAAAAGTCATAATGAGATAAAAAGTCATAATAATGAGATAAAAAATTTAAATTATGACTTTATTTACAATTTTTATTTTTTTTACTGGCAGAAATGGGTTTCTATACCATATAAAATGTACGCAGCATTTATTTTATATTTTAAAAGGATATTATAATATCCTTTAAATATATTATAAAGGAATAGATAAGATACTTTATTGTCATTGTCAAGGAGGTGGGTTTTGAGCCATTAATTTGTTAAAATCAATGCTACACTGCAGAGGCAAAAAATAAAATAAGTAGGCAATATTTAGGAGTATATTTTACCCATGTATGTAAAAACATATACAACAAAATAGTTTAATATTAAATAAAACCGTATTGACAGCAACAATGTAGGTGCCTGCTGATTTTCCCACATAAAGATGCACAGACCTTTATGGAAATGTCACCCCAGGTAACAGTCTGTGGTCATAACCCGGCTCGTGGGTCATGGCAAAAGACGAGAGGAGTCCGAAGATTACCAAAGAAAATGACACATTAAAAAAGTAGCTTTCAACAAGTTAAGAATATAAGTACACAGTCTGAAATGTGAATATCATTTGTAAAAGAAGTAAAAGAGAAAAACATATATGTATGCTCAGGTAGAAAGTGTAAAAATAGTAGCTGGCGAGGTGTCGGGGGCACTTCCCGAGCACTGCCGAGGTGCCCTTGAGCAAGGCAGCGAAATCAGAACAGCTCTGGCGCACTCCTTGCGTAGCAGTGTGTGGCAGCCCCACTCTGACATCTCTCCACTAACGCATGTCCACGGGTCCTGTTAGTGCATGTCTCTAAATAACAGAGTCTAAAGCAGTTTCCCTCAGGCATTCTTATGTCAACAATTTTTAAAAAAAGTGATTATAACCACATTGTATATCAAATATGGCAGTGTAAATGAAATGAGGTTCTTTTCCATTTTTTTTTTTTATTGAATGGTATTAATTGAACTATTCACAAAAGTGCAGGATCAGATTACCTACTTATAAATGTGTAAAACAGGACAGTGATAATAAAAACAAACACTGTGAATAAATGAGAACAGGCCCTTTATTCACTCTGTCATATAACAGGTTATGCAGGATTTAAGGGAGGGGAGATCTTATAGTTTAACAGTTTAATAATGAAACCAAAGTGAAACAATCAAACAGCTGAACATAAACACAAGCAGGACATCACAGACGAGCCACAAGACAAACATGGCCCAGCAGCAAATTGTTCAGGACGGTAAGTTTATCTCACATACAGTTCATTCTTGATTCATGCTTTGATAAGCATCGTCAGCTAGCTCATCGTGAAGTGAATCTCCATGTGTGACTGTTTCATACGATTGTTGTCGCTGTGCACACATTCAATTGTCTTCCCCATTTATTTCTGTTCATCATGCTGAGTTAATTTGTGCAGATGGATCCTCCTCCGGGTCATTTTCTATGTATTTGCTTAGCCAAACTTTTGTCCAGAGATGTTTTTTTTTCAATAACAGAAGCACAAACCCAAGACCTCGATGATGACAGATTGTGATGAGTCATCAGTGTTCATGAGGTTGTATATGTTGATGTTCATTTTGAATTATGAAAGAGGGATGTGACCTGGTGGATCCTCCTTGAAGAGGAATCTGACCTAGCCAGTCTTTAACACAGGACGGTGTTAGGCGCAGCTGCTGCAGAGTATAGCCAAAATGTGTGTCTTGTTGTCTACCTGTTAAAATCTAATCAACAACATAAGTCATTGGAGAAGCAAACAAGAGACCAAAATCACTTTTTCCTACTGCGTGTAAAAACGACATGCCCATAATTAATAGAGTATATTTCTGCTACTACAAGGTCTATTTGAATAATCAAGGTATCATTATAAAGGGATCAACATGTGAGATTAGTTCCGATGTGTATATGTTACTGGGTCAGAGTGAATGAAGTTAACACACAGCATCCTACATTTCATTTAGCAGATGTACATCAGACAGTCAGTACAACACAAGCAAGGAGGAAACACCTACAGCTCTAAGTCCGATCGGACACTCAGGTGCTGACAGGCAGTGCTGCACAAAGTTGAATATGTCAAACCCAAAAGCAGTTTAAAGTTTTATCCCACAGGCTTCTGTTACTGTGAGTCTGATTAGGAAATTTAGGACCGGGCAAAAAGATAGATAGGTTGGCAATTTGAGACCAAATCAATAAATAATAATTGATGAAACAGACATTATACCTTTCCACAAATTAGATGTAAAAAGTCAGAGTGGCTGCTGTCCTGAGTTTTCTCAGAATGCAAAAGATTATTCATCACATCTCACATTTTTGTCCAAAAAAAAAAAAAAGCAACAAAATGGCTTAAATCTGCACTCCAGGAGGGGTACTGCTCTATATGCATACATCAGATTAGACTGTTTAATCACAGCCTCTAATGTGATAAATCACAATTTAATGTTTGAATGGATTGGCAGCGCTGATAAGTATGTAAAACTTTTGTTTCAGAGCTCAAGATTTTGCTGATTGGGGCGACTAAAGCCGGAAAGAGTGCAACAGGAAACACCATCCTGGGGAGAATGGCTTTTAAATCTCAAATCACTGCTTCCTCAGTGACAAAGGAGTTCAAGACAGAAAAAGGAGAGTTTGGCAGAGAGATTCTGGCAGTAATTGATACTCCTTGTCTGTTTGGAAGCACCACATCTGATTCATTCAATGAAGAAATCCCAGAGCAGGTGTTGAAGGAGCTCAAGCAGTTGCTGCCGGATCCTCCTGGTCCTGTTGTGTTCCTGGTTGTGCTCCAGCTCGGAAGGTTCACAAAGCCCGAGGAGAAGCTCTTAGAAATGATCCAGAGGACCTTTGGCAGAGAGGCGGTACATTACACCATGGCCTTGTTCACGCGAGGAGATGATCTGAAGAAGGACGGACATTCCATTGAGGAGTTAATCGGAGAAAATCGAGCCCTGCGTGACTTCATCAGGGAGTGTCGTGGAGGCTATCACGTTTTCGACAATGGAGATTTAGATGAACCTCAGGTTTCCGAGCTGCTGCGGAAGATCAACAGCATTGTGGAGCGAAATGGAGGAAGCAACAACAGAATGTCTCAAGAAGAAGAGGGAGTCCACCAGAAAGAAAAAAGTGGAAGAGAAGCCAGAAAAGAAACTGGAGGAGGAAATGCATTTGTGAAGGTCTGCATTGAAGGTGCTTTTTATGGAGCCTTCACAGGAGCTGCAACATATTTACTTAGAAAACTACTGCGAAAACAGGAAACTATATTACTGTTGGGAACAATTGGAGGTGGGGTGGGTTTATTTGCAGGTGTAGTACGTTATACTGTCTGTAAACTGATTTGGGGAAATTATTAATGCAAACCAATTAGCTCCACATTTACATCAACTGCAAATGACTTTGCACACACATGATCAAGATCAAGTGTCTGGGAGCCTGCTCTCTGTTTAGAACTTTTGATTTTAAATTGATCTGCTGGTGAACAGGTGAATTCTGGGTAAAATGTGCAGGGTTTTAAAGCTCATGAATAATGGTCCATTTGGGCTGTACACTGAATTAACTATAGGGATACATGTTCTGTCTTTTCCTTGCTTTGACACAATCATATGTAGTGTTGTAGTACTCGAAATCAATCTTTTTGAAGGGCTTGATCTCCTCTCGGAATGGAAAGCATTTTTACTGTCTTGTCTCGGTCTCAGGCTAGGCGGACTCCAGATTTTAAATCAAGACCACCACTGAAAGGCTACTTTACCACGTCATGACTGTGATTAGAGGGAAAACGCCCCTTTCTAAGACGGCAAATAACTTTAATTTGTAATTTCTAATCCAGGTTTGACCTCTGTGTTTGAGAGACAGATTTGATCATGCGTAGTTGTTTGATAGAAAAACATGTTTGCTGAGACAGTTGCATCTAAAGGAAGATCAAATGTCTTTGTGTCAGTGTAAAAACATGAGAAAAACAATTGTATGATATATTTTTGTATTTGAGGGCCTGTTTTCTTTATTCTTCATAAACCACTAAATGAAAAGGGAATCCTCTGAATTATGTAAGAGCTTCTTTTGAATGTAATGTTTCTCATCCAGTAGCATAGTGCATCAACCTAAAATAAAAACATTGTTTTATTACGGTACATGTGACTGTTCCTCTTTTGTTCTAATTAGCAATCCTAATGTGTACCTTCTCTGATTCGTTACTGATGCAGAAAAATGTTTAATAAGTCTGAAAAATACACCAATGCAAAATTCTCACTTTGCCCCGTAAACTGGTCTGTATTCACCCCCTAGTGGGCTCAGGATAATCTAGAGCCAAGTTTACCCAGTACTCCTCAAAATGTTTTGAGAACTGGAGATTCGATCTAGATAAAGACTATTAGATTACCAGCTCCAATTTGACAATTTTATCCGTTTTCCCCCTTTTGAACAACCTGATAGTTTTAATCCAGTCACTTTAGGATTCAGCAATACTACATAAACTGTCTTTAACTTGTTAAAAAACAAAAAAAAAAACACAAATGTATGAAAGGTTCAATCAAAGGACGGAGTCCATTTTAGACAAAACACCAAAATCTTTAATGAAAGTCACATTTGTCATCCATGACCACGTGGGGGAAACATTTCATGGTACAGAGGGTTGAGAGTGTAGCCAGCATACGGCTGGTAGTCACCGGAGCTTTCTGGAGAATACCGGAAACCCCCGAGCACTCAGCAGAGCAACACGCAACCTCAACAGCTAACCAGCAAAACCCATCTGCTACACAACTGCGCCTAGTGCACAAAGAAACAATACAAGCAAGATTAGGATCAAAAAAGAAAAAACTTTTTTTAAAAAAGGGGAAAAATACAAAAGAAAAAAAAAAGGTCCAGGGTTGAGTGAACCTGTCAAATTAAATGACTTTAGAAGATGTTTCAAAGTGTGTGATGTCCTCACAGGATTTCTTAAATGCTTTATTGCAGTTGTTTCAGTGTTTTTAAACCATCAGCAGTTACATTTAAGACATTTACCACAGGAGGGGGAAATGATCGGAGGTTTTGGCAAACAAAGGAAATCCTGAACAGCCAAAATCAATGAGTGGAAATGGAGCAGGTGACATTTTTAAAGAGGATTAATTCAGTTTGATGATCGGCACTGCTTTAGAATCACAAGTTAAACAACTTTAGGATTATTATATCACTTTGGATGTTTGGTTTTTTTAATGTCATTTTGAACAAGAAATAAACACAAATGAAGAAAACCACGCCCATGTGTTGGGCCTGTATCACTTAGCGAGATTAACGTCATGACCAATTTACTTATGCTAATCCCAAGGCTTTTTGGTATTAAAGATGACTCACCAACAACACAATGGCTGATGTGAAAGAAATACAAGATGAAATGTCTTTAGGGTTTGCTTACATTGAGACCTTAACAGTAAAATATGGTTTTCAAAGCCAACAGTAAAGTAAAGATTTAAATGTAGGGTTACATGCAAAAGAACAAATGTAGAAATTAGCCAGGGAAACATGTAAAATGGTTTTGATTTTTATTAGTCAAATTCTTTCAGCCAAAGCAGGAAAACGTATGTAGCGCTGGGTTGCTAAAGAATTTCTTTAGCCCCTTTCACACATGCACTACTCTGGTGAAAATTTCCCAACATTTCCAGGTTAGGGTGCATGTGATCTAAAAGCAGTGACACCATGACTTCACGAGGACTTTTATACCTGCCAGCCGCCTTGCTAAATGTCAACGTTAGATCTGGTACTATGAAATCACTCCCAACGAGCAGGCGGGGTGATGACATTCACTCAAAAGGGAGCTTTCCTGCGCGCCCATACATGTTGCGATTTAAACAATAAAAGCTCTGCTACACCTAAATTTGAAGTGTTTTGTGGGAGGTTGTTCCGACACAAATTTACCGCTGTGAGGATCATGTGTGAAAGGCTCCCAAAAACACAAGGGCCTGAAATTATCCAAGACAGAAAGTCAGGAGTTCATGTGTGTTACAGGCTATCGATCAGCTTCTCAAGGTTGTATTAGAAATAGTCAATGTGAAAGCAGGTAGCACACAGTGAAAATAAGCAGACTTTTGGTGTTATTACAGGTTAAATCACATTCATACATTTGACTGGCCAAATGAGTCCACCTCTGTACTGAGTCAGTTAGTGGCCACAGTCATTACAGACTCAACGTTTAGAAGAAGCACATAAGGTTTGACTACATTGCTCGCTTCTTGATACAGGCCATGAGGTGAGAAGAACTTCAAACGAAAAGCTGAGACTTGCACCCCTTATTATCCTGTTTTTATCGTTGCAGAACTGAAACTTCCCTCCACATTGGACCAGACGCTTTAAAATCAAACAATCCATGAAAAGAAATAAACATCACAGCACATTGATGAATTAAAAAAAGAAAAAAGAAAAAGCCTTTTGTGGCAAAAGAAAATTAAACAAACCCAAAGCATGAAAGACAAAATAAAAACCTTTTACAGCAGGACACTGATGCTTGCGTTGGATTCCGGTCTTGAACATCCGAAGTATTCGCCTGAAAACTGTCCAAACAGAAAAGGGTGAGAATTTTTAATTGAGGCAGAGTGATCGGCAGCTTTTAATAAAAAAAGGTATTTGAGGCATATGAAGCCTTTATTGATAAGGCAGTAGAGCGCAACAGGAAATATAAGGTTGCAAAGACTTGACATCTGCTGGTGAAACTCAAACTTTTTGGGACTGTAGAGCCGTGACTGATGTGGATGTTAGCCAACCTCGCTCATCTGCTCAAGAACGACTTCTTGGTTGAACTAATTATTTATATTTTAATAATTCAGGCCTACAATCCTGGTTGGTTCACTGTTGTCTGTAAGATAGAATGCAGCCACCCACCACAGCTCTAACTATTTAATGGCTACAGCCATCAAGCTATACCACCCTGATGTAAACAAGCACAGTGGACGGATGTAGCACATAGAGGTTTGGCGGTATTCAGATCTAGAAAATGGAGGTTAGATGTGGATGTGTCGGGTTAAACTGGAATATAACCACTTGTCCAAGCAGTTGTAGACAACACAAGAATGTGGACGTTAACCTGAAGGAAGACCGAAGGCTGCTGGTGCTAGCACTGCTGATTAGCCACACTAGGCAAATTTATTTCACATTGTAAACCCTCAGTTGCTGGGATCCCGTGTTAAATAAATTCTGCTAAATTTTGACTGTTTCAACTACAGATTAAGGGGAAATTAGTGGCTAGGAAACCTTTCATCTGCCCTGTGACAACAGATGGAAGTTAGCTAGTTAGCTAAAGTAGAATGCATCTTTTCTCTTCTGAGACTTGGGTTATTTTGTACATTGTCCAATTCTAATAAACTAGTTTAAAAAAAAACAACATACATATAGGAATGCCCCTTAATGTGTAACTTAACAGAGAAAGCCTCCCGTTTGATCCCACTATACTCTGCCTTAACACATTCTATGAAGTGGCCAAATGAAAATGTGTAATGAGAATAAATGTGGCTAAAAAAAAGGTTCAACTAAACAAACAGCATGGGACTTACATGGTGGCAAAGTCGGACAAACGTCGGAGCCCCTCCAGCACCTGGCTGGGGATCTGACCTGGCGGACAGTTTAATGTCCAGTGGTGAACAGGCAGACGTACCTCAACACCAAACCCCAACCCTGACAGGTCTCCACCCTTCTGCAACAGAAACCCTCACCAGCAGGAGCAGGCAGCCCCGGGGCAGCTCACCACACACCTAACTGCTCACACTGCCTCAGCTCAAACTCCTCTTTAGCAAACAGGATGCTGCAGCTTTGGAAGGAAAGAGTTCCAGATTTGATTTACTGTAAGAACTGTGCTTTAAAAAAAAAAAAAGTAGTATTTTAAAATATGAGCTTGAACACCAGGTAGAAAAAGGTAATGTGTGAATGTGGGATTGTTCATAGGCATAATCTTTATGTTTGAGCACCAACTTATCCAGATGAAAAATAGCCTTCAAATGTTGTTGGGAGTACTTGCTGAACTGGATATTAGAGGGACTTGTTTTTTTTTTTTAATACAAGTTTGAAAAAGATAATTGGAACTAAAATGTAAAACTTAAAATCTCCTCCGTTGTGTTACATGAGCATCTTCTCAGAACCTCACCTGTTGCTGGCGTGGCGAGATCTACGGGGTTTCTCCTCCATTCTCTGCCGCGGACTTGGGCTGGCTTTTAGATCTTGACCTGGAGCCTCTTTTGGAGGCTGGGGTACGGCTTCTGGACCTGGACTTGGATTTGGATTTGGACTTGGACTTGGACTTGGACGGGGATCTGGATCTAGATCTGGAACGAGAATGGGACTTTGCCTTGGGCTTCTTGGTCTTGGGAGAGTGGGACTTGGATCGGGAGTAGGACCGGGACCTGGATCGGCTGTGGCGGGATCGGCTCCGGGAGCGAGAGCGGCTCCTGCTGCGGGACCTGCTGCGCCTTCTGCGTCTCGGGCTGCGGGAAGAGCTGGATACAATCAGTGGGTGAGTTGTCATTTTAAAAAGGCACTAAGAATAGGAAAACAGGCCCGTGTACTGCAGTTGATACAGAGGGGATTTATCAGGGTTGCAAAGATTACATAAAAGGCTAAATAAATATCCACCCCAGGTTAAAAGCATTTTCTTCAAATATGCATTACATTTTATATATACACAATTTTAAATAAGATAAGTTTATTGTCACTCTACAAGTACAACGAAATATTGTTGGAGCAAGCCTATAGATGCCTAATATCAGAAAAATTGCAAATACTAACACCAAATAAGAAATAAAATTAAATAATACGATATAGTATACAATATACAAGCAATACGTTAATATGTAATGCTCATACATTTAAAAAATAAAAATCTAATAATCCACATCTGAAACACGTGTATGGCTCATTGGATTGTTCCGGGTTAGAGCAGCGTTTAAGTTTTTATTCATTTTTTTTTTTTTAAGCAGTAGCGCTTTACGCGGCAAATTCATTAGCAAAATAACTTTATGCATGAGTTAAGTTTTCAGCAAGAAAAACAAAAAAATTAAATAAATTAAAAAACCACAATAAAATTAAATAAAAATTATTTTGAGGAGTCGCGTTTTATCAATTCACCGCGGCCACTCTTCAGATCTTACGAGTATACAAGGAACTAACTGCGTACACGGATCCAAAATGGGGCTACATGGCTCGCAGTTTCGCGCTAATTCTCACCTCCTGCTCCGGCGTCCATAGCCACCTTGTCTCCTGGGCGGCCCACCTCGCCTTCCTCCTCCACCACCACCGCCGCCGCCACCTCCTCCACCGCCGCCACTACCGGAGTGGGAATCAGGGGGTCTTCCATATCGGGCCATCTGAACACGCAGTTCCCTCCCGTCCAGGAGCGCGCCGTCCATGGCGTCCATTGCATCCTCCGCGTCGCGTTTGTCGTGGAACCGCACGAACGCGAAACCGCGACTCTCTTTCGTGTACCGGTCGCGGGGGATGTACACGTCGCCCACCCGGCCGTAATCCTCAAACACGCTTCTGAGGGTTTCCGGCGATGTTCGGTACGTGAGGTTGTCCACTTTGAGGGAAGTCATGCCGTCAACGTCTGGCGGAGGCCTACCGTAACTCATTGTGATTAGCTCGTTAGGCCCGAGAGCCTTCCTCCAAACACTTTGAAATTCTCCGCAACAATCCAGCCGTTATGTGTGTAAAAAAATAAATTTAAAAAAAGAAGCACACTTCAACTGCGCGACTTAGTTAAGATTTTTACTTCTCTGGTGGGTTTTCTTCAGGATGCACGATCATAAGATTAAACGACTTCTTCATTCGCAACTCCGTCCACGTCGTTTCCAACTTCCCCGAAACCAGCCAAACCAGTCAAGGGAAGCTTCTTCTTCTCCTGTTGGAAATGTGGCGCTTCTCTTTAATATACTACCCGCAACGGCGCCCCCTAGTGGAAGTGTTTTTTTATTTTTTATTATTGTACACATAACATAAACGCGCGAAACCACAACATTTAAAAAAAATAAATAAATAAATACAATTTAAAAAAAGGAATCTGAAATACTGTTTTTTTACACGTATAAACGATTTGATATTTCGTATCCACATCCACACCCGCGCTTTTAAAAAAAAAAAACACGTTGTTATATTCAGACTATGTTGAAATCCAAACCGGAAGTAGTTTGACATGCACAGTCGCTAGCGTTAATGAAAAAATAAGCAAAGGTTCTGCGTATTTTTTAACACAAGACGAATATTGGTTTTGAATAAGGCTTATTTAAAAAGTTATCGCAATTTATTGGCAATTAGTTTTATCGGCTCTTGAATTAGAAAGAAGCGCAATAGCCAAACTGAACCTGAACCGGAAGTGGAAACTAGTTTTTTTTAAATCAAAGAAAAAAACAACTGGACTGGTTAAAGCGCATGCGCGTTGGTGAGTTTCCTCTGTGTAGATTGTTTATAAATCGGCGGTTTGATGCTACATGCATAGTTACAGCTCTACTAGTCAGCTGATTGCATTCACATGACAGTCCTTTCCCACTTTGGGGTAAAGTAAGCCTCACCGGTGCTGAGAAAGTATTCTGGAGAATCCCTTTTTACACGACGGAAACATTTGAGTCCAACTTAGTTTAGGAACCACATGAAGAACATGCTTTTTTAAGGACAACGGAGGTGCTGCAAAGACGGAACTATGTCACCAATAACAGACTGAGCCTGGACACAAAGAGGAGCAGCCACAGGGCTTAGCTAAATAGCTTCAGCATTGTTGGTAAGTTGTTTGCTGTGCCATGTCTCAGTCAAAGTTGTACTTTAAATACTGACACTTCTTGTTTTGTAATTAAGCGATCATATCTTTGAAAACAACATGCAAGACAAGCACAGTTTAAAAAAACATGTCAGTCATTTCTCATTTGTTTATTGGGTGTTGTAACCTAAATTATCACTTCTCTTAAAAGCAATCTTTGTACAATTTCCAACAATCTCATTGCTGACGTTGAAAGCCATTCTTAAATTAGGTAAATACATTATTTCATGTTTTTAGATCTATTGTATGCCGAATATAAACTGTGTATGTGCACTGTCACATTAATAATGTCAAGTAGCTTGTGTGATTTGTCTCTGTATTTTACATGCAGTTGCATTTGGGATAAAATAAAAGATCTAATGAATGAAGTTTGCAAAAGTGATTTCTTTGTAATGGGTTGCAGTGAGTGAATAATGCTGTCCTAGTGTCACATGCTGTCTCAATTTGTACTCCCTTTATTGTATCCAGAGAGGGGCGGGTCACTCTGAATTTCTTTTTGTGTTCACTTCCTCAAGGATTTTTTTTTTTTACAAATATCCCTCAAAATGGGTCCAGAGGGGAAGAAGCTGTTGAACATCATCATCCTGGGCTTCGGCTTTATGTTCATGTTTACGGCGTTTCAAACATGTGGCAATATAGAGGTAGGCTTGATTATTTTCTTCTCATTCACATTCCAGATTGGTCACACGTAACTGCAGATCATATAACCAGTCATCAGTGTGATGAGTGTCATTTTCCTGATTTCTTACAGCAAACAGTTATCAAGAGCTTCAACAGCACGGAGTTCCATGGGAGTGGATACACAAGGTGAAGCGCTGCCACTCTTACAGCCACACATCCTGTGTATGTAGACTACACTGCAGATGTCCCAGTACACATAATCTGCACAGATATCAGGCTCAGCTCAACCAGCTGATTCAAAGTAATTCCTTGCACGACATCTTGAAGGATAATTCAATTTTAGGTTAACCACTTTAGGGAACAAAGTTTGCTCTGAGTTAATTTTGCAGTGACTCCGCCTACAAGGAAGCGTCCAACATGATTTCAATCTTTTCATTAAAACGAAAATTCCTCTGTTTGACCCTATTTTTTTCTTCACGTTTTTGGGTGTAAAGGACTGAAAGAGGGGAAAAGTTTAGGATTTGCTTCCTGGAATTGCTTCCTCCTTCTTCAACAAAATGTGTTGTAATGACTGCAGTGTAATCTTTGGGGACACTGACCACTGAAAGTGTTCTTTCGTTTTGTTTTAATGACTGACAGGCTGAGATTCTAAGTTTCTGACAACATACTAGAAGACAGAAGATTAATTTAAAACAGCTGTAACATGTCTCTCTAAAAATCAACCAATATTTTTTTTTTACCTCGCAGGACTCTGGAGTCTCTTGTTTACCTCTGATCCCTCCGATTGTTTTTACTATCAGGAAGTTTTAGGAGTTTTGTGCAAGTGTTAAAAGCAATAACTGAGAAAACCAATATGAACATGTGTTTGGTAAAAACAAGCACCCTGAGTGGACATACTTCAATAAAGAAAATGACCCTCAAAGAAATATAGTGCAGTCATTACAGCCTGTTATAACTGCCAGCTGACGTATTCAACAGGAGCTATTCTTAAACTTTTTGCATCTAATGAATCAATAAAGCCCAAAACTATGTAAACAAAAGTATAACCCAGGTTCAAAAATGCAACATTCTCTTTAAAAAAATGGGACATCTTTAAAAAAAATGTGGGATAAATATGCGCCAAACATACATCAATGGTTGTGTAATTTACTAAAATATTAACTATGCAGCCATCTGTCCTTTGCAGCATGGCCATCATCTATGGAGTTTTCTCTGCATCTAACCTGATCGCTCCATCAGTGGTGACTGTCATCGGGCCGCAGCTATCGATGTTCTTCAGTGGGCTCTTGTACAGGTACGTTTGCATAGACTTAAGTAAGCTTCTAACTTGTGTTTTTCAGGCAGATTCCAGCTTCTTATGTGTTCTGAAATGTTGTGTTTGCAGCGGCTACATTGCTATGTTTATTTATCCGTACACCTGGAGCTTCTACACGGCGTCTGTGCTTGTTGGAATAGGAGCAGCAGGTACAGACATGTTATCTAATGATCTTACACTTCTAAAAGTCGTCTTTATCTTCATATTTTCCTCATCTTGCTCCTCTCTGTGTGTTTAAGTCTTGTGGACGGCTCAGGGAAATGTGCTCGCAATAAACTCTACTGATACTACGATTGGTAGAAATAGTGGCATCTTTTGGGCACTGCTGCAGTTCAGGTGAGACGTTCATGCACCTGAATGGAATCAAGATTTATAAGCTCTGTGTTTTGTTTTTTTTTGTGTGGCCTTTTTCAGTTTTTTTATTACAAAATGATTTCCCTGCAGTTTATTCTTTGGAAATCTCTACATATACTGTGCCTGGCATGGACACGTCCACATAACGGGTAAGAAGCACGCCGGGTTTGTTTAAAAAAAAAAAAATCTCTGCCTTGTGTATTTCGTGCTATTCCTAGAGTTTGCGGACTTCTCATAAGGAGTTTCATTTTAAGCATGTGACTCACACGTTGTGTGTCTCAGACAAGGACCGTCAGACCGTGTTCATCTCCCTCACCGTGATCAGTCTGGTGGGTTGCTTCCTCTTCTTCCTGATCCGGAGGCCTGACCCTGACCCCGCTCCCTCCGAGGCGTCAGAGGCGCTGCTGCAGGGGGAATCCATAGAAGGCAGCTCAACAGTTAGGTGAGCACTACCAAGAACTTTCACTGAAGTTTTTTTTTCACTGTATGTGACAACAGGTCATGGAAGAACCACACTGACCACTTTTATGAAACATTCCTGGAGATGATTGTTAATTGAAGGGTTTTAAATGTCCAACTAAATTGATACCAGGTTTCTGTAAAAGAGTTAATGTGTCTCTCTGGGTGAAACATGCACACTGGCACTCCTCAGGCAGCATCAACACACTAACTCTAATGTCTAGAAATACAGGAAAATCAGGAAGTCAAACTTAAAGTCTAATACTTATCATCCCTGGAAAGCTTGCCTTATTATGATAATAACAATGGATTTGTATTACACTTCTTTATGCTTGTTATTCTCAGACATAAGGCAAGGCAAGTTTATTTATGTCGCGCATTTCAACAACAAGGCAATTCAAGGTGCTTCACACAAAAGCATCATGACAGAGGAAAGAAAAGAAACATTAAAATAGAAAATTAAAAAATCACTGAAAATTATATCTCAACATATGTTCAAATAAAAACATAAAGACATTTTAACACACAATCAGTTCTTAATATTCATGAGGACATAAAACCGATTATAATGACTCATTCTATAAGAAGCAGGTGGCTGTAATCCTTGAGGGTAAAACTGATCAATCAATATCTACCAGAGGTGGCGACTTGAGTTTCAGACTTGGACTTCAGTCACACAAAACTGTGACTTGAGACCTGACTTAGACTTGCCCCTTGAAAGACTTCAGACCTGACTCGGACTCGGTTTAGGACTCATGCCCAATCTTTTCATTTTTCATTATCCCCATGTACATATAAATAAATCAAAATATAAGCAACTTCCCCAGCTCTCCTTAACTGTTCTCTCTCTCTCTCTCTCTGTCTCACTCAACCACTCGCTCAATACACCCTGCCAGGAAGGATGACAGAGCGTTTAGATGCAGGAGGAACTTTAAATATATTTTTTAAAGAAGGGTGTAAGAAGTCAGCTTCTGTTGAAATCTCTCGTTGCCGGTTGATCTCTAACAGGATGTATTTCTCTTCCTCGTAATCGTTTGACAGAACCAACCGGGACAATTCACGTCTGATCCCACTGCATTCCTGCATGTTCTTCACACACACACACACACACACACACACACACACACACACACACACACAGACAGCATGTGATGGAGAGTCGGACAGTTGAGAAGGGTTGAACAGTACAGCTCTACACTGCATGAACTGCAGCTGAAAATGTGTATTGTGACTGTTTATGAGTGAACAAATGACTGTTACAACAACTACTACTACTACTACAGCTACTTCTACCATACTACTACTACTAATAAGAAGAAGAAGAAGAAGGCTGCTACTGCCTCAGTGAGTTA